GTCGGATGAACAACATGGGATATCCCGAGGGGGTTCGTGATGTGATTCTCCACAAAAGAAGAGACAGGACAGGGGAGTTGTTTCACCTTGTAAGCGCTAGCGAGGTTGCTGAAGGCGTCGGCGAACGTCGGCTTGATATTGATGGCCGCGCTGAGAGAGAGAGAGAGAGAGAGAGAGAGAGAGAGAGGGAGAGAGGGAGAGAGGGAGAAATAGACAAGGCGCAAGCGTTAGGGGTAGAGAAGACGTAACCATCAGGGAAGATAGAGCATGAAGACCCAGGCATTCGGAAGGTCGTCTCGAGTCGTGTCGTTACTGACATCGAGGCAAAAACGAACACATGTTAACACGCACACACCACAATGTACACGCGACCGGCTCCCAGACGGGCTGTGCGCGAAAGCACAAGCCCGAGACCCTTCTTGCCCGTGAACGACCACAACAATATGTTATTACCTCTGCCTCCGGTGGGCGGTGCTTTAACGCAGCAGCGCAGACGAGTCTCTTCGCAGTAAACAACGTTCTCGAAAAAATGCTGTCCGTCTACTGTAGTACCTGTAGCACTTGATGGCCTCAGGGAGCCGGCCCATGTCCTTGTAGGCGTTGCCCATGTTGCTGTAGGCGTCGGCGAAGCCGGGATCGATCGCGATGGCCTCGTGGTAGTGTGCCAACGCGTGTGCCTTCGTCGTCCATTGAAACAAAAAAAAGTCACCAAAGCTTCGGAATTAACGGTGGGATGGCAGACACGTGTAGCTTTCTGTCTCAAACATGAGGATCACATTATGCACGCATTGCTTTGAATAATTTTATGAATGCATTGGACATGGGTCGTCTAATGAAAGCATTGGATTTTGGTCATTACCGAGAGTACGTTTAAGTGGATTTGGGTGAGGCCCCCTTGCGCCGGCCTGTGGTCCTGCCCATACTTCATGGCTTCCCTCGAAAGTTACGAGTATTCACCCCACAAACGGCCCGTTGCAGACTCGCCCAATCTTCATCAACACGCCGCCGCTAAGCTATGGGGCATTATTGACTCGTGCACCTTGCCGTGCTACATACATGCCAGGTCCCATGGGTACCGCCGTGCCCAGCGATCTCTCGGGGGCGGCCTCTGCATTCTCCTCGGGCACGAGCTGCAAGGAAATCATAGATGATAGGCGCCACGGCTAAAGCTTTTTACCGCGAGCTTGGGTCGTTAGCAACCAAGGCCAGCCCTCGTCAGGGGGGGGCGCGGATTCTTGGCCCTCCGCCATCGAGGCGTCAGAAACGAAAAACATCCACACCGCACGTAAGCTTACGCTGAGCTATGGACAGCGTACGTGCGGTGTGGGTCATTTCGTTCGACGCCTCGATAACGGCGGGCCAAGAATCCGGTGGCTGGCCATCGTCGCCAACCCACCCAAGCTCGTGGGAAAAGGTCGAACCGAGGCATCGATGATCTCCTTGCAGCTCTAGCCCGAGGAGAAGAAGATGCGGCACCGGAGATCGTGAGCGTTGGCGGGGGCGGGGGCAGGGGCGCCCACGGCACCACAGGCCAGTGTATACCGTAGGTCGACTAAGACGCACACCACATCCCCCGGAACGAATAAAAACCTCCACAGTAAAAATACACCACGCACAGAACGCTGAAATACGTTTTCGGAAAGCTCTCGAGGTTCCATGAGCTGCTCTACACTTGCACCCATCCATCTTCACTTCAAATCAGCGCTCACAGCATCTATGCCGTTTACTCCAACCCGTGGTCGCACATAAAGGCACCCGTGGTCGCACAGAAAGGCTCCTCGCCCTGAAAAACAAATGGATCGGTTTTATTTTACACCAGAACGTGAGATTCAAGAACCAATCCCATGCGCTACTGCAGCACTCCTCCGCATTCCTCGCTGTCTCCAAAGTGGCCTCTTCTGTCTCCCGTATTCACTCCGCGCGTAACGCCGCCCCCGCCGCCGGAAAAAATAATCATGAGCCCAATCTTTATAAACTCCATACGCACTCCGCAGCCGCCCTCGCTGTCTCTTGCCCCATCTCATCCCTCTCCCAATCCATCTTGTGGCGTAACGCCACCTCTCCCATTTCACTCTCTCTCTCTCTCTCTCTCTCTCTCTCTCTCTCTCTCTCTCAACGGTGACGAAACATCTAACAACCCCACCCACGACTTGTCTCCCTTCCTCTCCCCTGATTGCTCTCTCTCACCAGCTTGCCCTGCTCCTTCAGCACGCTGCCGAGGTTGCTGTGCACGGCCGCGAACTTGGGCATCAGCTGCACCGCCGTCACATAGCAGTGTATCGCCTCCTTGACTAGACCCTGAAAAAGACACACCCGTAAACATGTCCATGTTTTATCGGGGAAGAGGGTCTCATGTGAATCTCCAAAGTCGCATTCTGCTTCCCATCTGCTTCATTTCCACCAAATATAAATAAAGCCCCCCCTTCACATTTGCCCCCCCCCCGGTGTTTGCCATCGGGGTTGCGCTTTCGTTGCTTGGCAACGACGTTGTAAAACAAGACAATTCACTTCGGGAACTCGGCAACCAGGTAACCGTTTTTTTTTTAACCTGCTTTTTTTTGGCGGTAACCATAATGGTGGTCGAGTAGATCATGTTGTGCGGGGTAGAGAACCCTCACTCCGCGCAAGGGGGATGATCGCACCACGTTGTGCTAAAATGGTCAAGCACCCCCGAGGCAGTTACACAGTGCTTACAACTGTCTCAGGAAGTGAAAGCACCAGAAAATAAGTTACGTCATACGCAGCTGTCATCCGTACGCAAGGAGGTAAGCACAAGATGCCGAACACCCTTAGCAGGATGCAGCGCACCCTTGATGCGACTCGCCGAATACCTCACGGCGCTCCGCGCTTGGTGATGTGAAAGCCTGGTCCGGCTAGAAACCGGCGTGCTCCGTCCCAGCTTTGTAGGGATGCGAGGTCAATGGTCTAACGACTACGGCATGCACGACTATGAGCACAACCCCCCCCCCTCCCCCCTTCTTGCCGTTCGCAGCCCGTCGGCGTGCACAACCAAAAAAACAGAATGCGGATCGATCGATCGCCTATGACTCTAGTCCGAATGAAAAACGGACTGGGGGGGGGGAGCTCAGTGACGCAGCGGCCGGCCGGCCGCTGATTCTTGCCTAGCGTCCACTTTTTTATGCCTAACGTTTAGACGAAATAACGAATGCCTGGACACACGTACGCATATGAAGACGTAGTGTAGCCGGCTAAACTTTAGCAGTACGTCGGACCAAAAAAAAATTCACAAAAGATTACAAAACTCTGTACACGTGCGGCAAACACTCGTTCAGTGAAAAACACAAACCGAGAAGGTCAATGGTAGAGGTGAAGATACTTTCAGAAACTCCACGAAAAGAAAAAGGGAATCGAAAGCCTAGGGTTACCTTATCCTTCATGGCGTTTCCCAGGTTGTTGTAGGCGTGGGGGTGGTCCGGCTTAAGGCGCAAGGTAGTCCGGTAGCAGTTGATTGCCTCCTGCGTGTTTCGTACGGCATACGATCGTTCACGCATCGCAACGTGTCGTGGCGGCGAAAAACCAGGCGAAACAATGATGCGTTGCTCTCACGCAGTTGCAATCGCTAGCTACCAAACGACGCTAGGCACCGAATATGCGCTCATTCTTTCACATCCTCCAACTTAGCACCAGTAGGGGTGAACCGAACACCTTCCCCGACAACCGCCGGCCCACCCGCATGCACTCACACTCACGAACGTAGACGTGCGCCCGGAGCACAGCCCCGACGCTAGCGATGATGATACATGGAGATCTGTTCGTTTCGCCTCCTACATGCATCCACACAAAACAGAACACACGCTAGCCCAAACAAAAAACTTTGAGTATCACAGATATTCTTCATGTCCTTTCCCAGAAACACATGCGGAAAGCAAACCTCGTGTCCCCGCACCTCCAACTGCCCGGACTCTCTGAGGGCGTTACCGAGGTTGTTGTAAGCGTCCGGGAAGTTTGGCTCCAGCTGGATCGCGTACCGGAATGTCTTGATGGCCAGGTCCTGACACCTGCAGGTCAGGCGAGCAACCCGCACGGCGAAACAAGGACGACATAACGGCACAAGGTGTTGATCCCCGCTAGGGACAGCATTACTCCAGACTCAAATGCGAATAGGAAAAGCCGGCAATGCTGCGGTTGTGAAGACGCGACCTTGGGTTAGCGTGGGGGAAAATACAAGAGACGATAGAGACGAAACGCACCTTGCCGATCCATGAAGAATTGTGGGTCATTTGCAGACACGCCACGAGTACCAGTCGCACCGTACAACCAGGCGGATCGAATAACACAACGCTGCAAACTCAAAGATAGAGGCGTTCTGTCCGTCTCCCTCTCACCCCTCGGATCAAAAGAACCACACGAGAAGGCGCCCGCAGGTAGAGGACTTGAAAGAATCCGCGGGTGTGAAGGGGAGCATCATCGATACCAATAGATGACTTCGGTAAGCAACAAGAACAACAACAAAGAGTACCAAGCCACTACAAGCAGCAACGCCACTCGCCCACAGTCGTAGTAGCAGCTGGCGAGGTTGCCGTAGGCGATGGCGAAGTCGGGTCGGAGCTTGATGGCCGTCTGGTAGCACTGCATCGCGTCGTGAACAAGTCCCCTCTCCTACAGAAACAAAAAAAACAAAACAGAAGCACGGAACCCAAGAATTAATGTGCGCAGGGCAAGAACATAGTTGAAAAGCTGAGACTACTGCTGTTCGGCTGTCTCAAGTATGTCTTCAACCTTAAGCCACTACTGTATATTGGCATACATTAAAAGGAAGGCAATAATCACGTGCAGCGACACGGGTGAAGAAAAATTCTACATGCAAGATGCTTGAATAGGGTATACGTCAATGCTCTGGTTGAGCGCATCAAAATAAATGGCCTCGGGACGCTGCATAGTCCTAACAGCAATCTGATGTGACAGTACAGATGCCAACTGCCCGCCATTTGCGTCCCCAAGTGGCTACTTCTGCAAAAAATGCATGCAAGAGGAGAATCACAGTTCTCGTGTTGAGTCATTTTCTGTTTGCCCGCTTTCTGGTCCACGTTCTGACTGGACGATAGACACTATCGCTCCAACGAGGGTGAAGCATCGAATGAAGTACTGCTACCCGGCAAAACGATAGTGTTTCGTAGAAGCGTTGCATATTTCGTAAATACCTTGAGGACGTTCCCGAGATTGCTGTGGGCGTCGGCGAACTCTGGGCACAGCCGTATTGCCTCGCGGTAGTAGGCAACCGCCGTCGTAAGATTACCCTGGAAACACAAGCAGAGGTGTGAACTATTAGCAAGGCATCAGGACGGGGGTACGGGCAGCAGCGGCAGTTGTCGACGCCTACCCCCCCCGGATCATAATGTTCCTCGAAGAGAAAGGTGGGTACCGCCGAAGAAGCAGCAGCAGCAGCATTAGAAGAAGCAGCAGCAGCAGCAGCAGCAGCACCGTAGGTACTTCAACCGAAAGAAAGGAATATGGATACACCAGAGGGAAGGGCAGCAGTACATGTACCAGCACCATTGTCGACGGCAGGGGTTCTAAAGCGCCACGTCCTCCGAGAGCACACACAGCAAGAGTCTCCAGTTTTGGCCCCCGCCCGGGAGCCTTGGCTTTCTTAACTGCTGCTGACGTTGCATATTTTCATTGGCCAACCGGGGCTACACAGCACGGTCGATGAAAAAAAAAAAGCTTCAATACATGCTACGAGGGACACAAGACCAACGTGGTCACAACAAGAAAACAACAAAACCGACCTCCTCCTTAAAGATCCCCGCGAGGTTGCTCCAGGCGATGGCGAAGGACGGCTGGATCCGGATAGCCTCCAGGTAGCACCGTTTCGCCTCCGCCAGCATGCCCTGGGCCTGCCGTTAAACAATGCGCCCGCGATGCGGCACACACCATCACAAGGATCCACGGCGAGCGTAACACTCGGAAGTCATGCAAGAACCACAAAGCGAGGCCCCACACCACCTGAGCGACAAGTACTTAAGCTTACATCGATGGGTCGTTCGCTTTTTATAAATAAATCACACCGCGGACCCCGAACCATAGCGTTATTTTCCCCCGTGCACGAACGGTGCGGAGGACCACTCACGTTAGCGCTGCGATGGGCTAGTGGCGAAGGGGCTAAGAAGAGCTTACCTTGTAGAGGTTGCCGAGGTTGCTGTGCGCGTCCACGAGTCCTCGGTTGAGGACCAAGGCCATCTGTGTTGCGTGGCGTGAATGGCGAGAACCGTGCGAGGAGAACAAAGGGGAGAAAACATAATCAAATGATGTAGAACGAAAAACTCAAATGAGCATGGGGAGAAAGGACAACGACCCACGAAAAAGAAATACATACAAGACAAGACAACACAATAATCAGAATGTACGGAATCAGAGTACGGAAAACGAACCAACACCCTTAGCGTGTGTTCTGGGCGCATCACCATGCGCCGCGCATCGCAGATCGTGCTTCTCAACGCATGCATTGAGTAAGCCTGCTATTTACGCGTCTAGAAGACTCCGCCCCCCCGCTGGGTGTGTATCCCGGCGACACCAAGAGGACTGACGCCTTTACCCTACTCAGTCTTTTTAGGAAACCTGTACCCTATTTAGTCTATGTTGTCGGAGTGCTGGTGCAAAGGGCGGCTATGCAGCTATGCACCAAACGCTGAGGGCACGGCCAACACAGAAAACAACAACGCCCCGATATATTCTGATCAAAGGCCAGCAAAAAAAGGCCCGTACGGATCGCACCCGGTCGTGCACTGAACAGAAGGGCACAAGACTCGGCATCAAGCCGCAATTTCGCATGACGTCATAACAAAACATCTGTAGCGCCAAAACCATGGTGACCCACCATCTCATGGTTACAATTCCCGATACACTCAACAGAAAATTAGCAAAGGCCACGGACGCCGCCGCTGCCGCACCTGATATGTCTCGATGGCCTCCTTGGTGTGCCCTAGCTGCATGTACGCCGACGCCAGGTTATTGTACGCGTCGCAGAAACGCGGCTTCAGCTTCACCGCCTGCCATCGCCGCCGGGGAAGGGGAGAGAGAGAAAAACACAAACGCTCAAGATCGCCAAAAAAACAAACACAACAAGAGCACGTGAGCATCGAACGAATTCACGGATAGAACTAAAGCAGAAACAAAAGAAATGCCTGTGTGTTCGTCTACTACACCGGTCGATACCTTTGAGAGGGCGGGAAGATTTCAACAATAACGAGCACGATGCAAGCAAAAGAGTACAAGATAATGCAGGGGAACGAGGTGTCATTGCCGAAATCGGAAACGCGTCATCGCCGAAGCGGTTTCGCCTTGCAAGCAACAAACAAAAAAAACACCACGGAAAATAACCCAAAAATTACCTTGAGGTAGAACTGGATGGCACCGCCCACGTCTCCTAGCTCCTTGAGGGCGTTCCCGAGGTTGGAATACGCCTCGGCAAAGTTGGGGTCGATCCGGATACATTGCTGAGTACCACGGGCGAGTACATGGGGTTGAAGAGGAAACGTACGGAATGATGGTGAGAGACGCGACCCACAAAACGGAGATGAAAAACACGTACTGAAATCCCGGACATTCCGTGGAATGTCTTTTATTCCGGGCTTTGAAGGGACTGCGGGGTGTACGGCTGCTGTTTGCTCTTGCTGGGGTTGTTGCCTTCTTTTGTTTGTCGTTTCTGTTGGTGATCCTACGGGTTTCGGTGGTGCTCGTTTCAGGCAGTCTACAGCATAACAACCTCCCCTCCCCCCCCCCGTCCAACCCAACATCAAGAACGGTCCGCAGACCCGGAGTTACGGGGAGCATTTCGACAGGCAGGAGACAAGGCGAACAAACAGGATGACGGCAACAGCGACGATGGGGACAACTGATGGTGACACCACCATCACCATCAACCAGCCATGACAGAACACAGCCTTCACAACAACACGCTCGTCCGACGCTACTACGCCCCGCCCCGAACGCCCGCGCATTGAAACCACCTTGCAACAGCAGTATATCTCCTCCCATGCCCACAAACCTGGTTGTAAAGAATACACTCGCTAAAGTTCCTGAGCTGAAAGTGAACGGCCCCAAGGAGGAGAAGGTTATCGGTCCGACACGCCCCCTGCCGGTACACGGACTCGCACAAAGCCTGAGCGTCTTTGTATCTGCGCAGTGATCAAAGGTGGGCGGTTGCGCAGTACTTCGGTCGCGCGACGCACGCAAGGTATTCTAACCGCAAGATGGAAGGTATAACAAGACGATGTGATCGCGGGTCACGAAAACGGCGTGCTTCGTGTGTTGCGCGAGATATTGAGCAAGATGGAAGGGGAAGGGCGGGAAACGGTGGGGGGGCGCAAGCATGCTCAGATAGTTAAGGCAGGGCACACGCAAGCGGTGCTCCCCCTTTGTAGGGTTGCTGTGGTGGAAAGAATAGCGCTCTGCGATCAGCGAGTGGGACTGATATCGCCAGGCCGGTCAATTCTTGTGAACGGCGATCAACATGGGAGTACGGCAGGAGGGAAGGATAAGCATCAACGCCACGGGCACACACGTCTACCAAGACGAAGTTGCGTGCGAACACCAAGGGTCTGGTCAGCCAATTATAGAAGGGGCCAGGACCAACTGCCTGTGAGTGCGTCACTTGCTTGCCAAATCATGTCTTTGGAAGCACTATGGTTCTGCGGATACTGTATTTTAAAAATATCACATCGTCTGATCACAACAAAATAGAGACCGTTCACCACAACACAAGATATTGCAGGTGTACTGCTGTAAGCAGTACACCTACAATATTATCAGGGAGACAAAGTCACAATCATCACGATCAGGAAAAATGAACTACATGCCACGTCCACTCACCACGATCTCGAAGTCGTGACATGCACCATGAGAAAATACCAGCAGCACCGCATCGCACCGCGCTACGAACACTGACACACACCCGCACCTGCCGAGGTTGTAGCTCTCATGTGCCGCCGACAGCAAGCCCGCGAGGTCAGAATCCGTAGACTGTTTCGTGGATGCACCATGACAAGTTTCGTATAACGCGAAGCCCCCAACCGAGAAATACAGCAAGTATCACGGCGGCATGCGAGGGGAGAAGAGGGGTTGGGACAGGGCGTGTGTGTGGGACAAAGCCGTAACGAGTGAGAGGACACGATAGGGTCGAATGCCAGATCCTTAGATTAGGGCCCAATATGTCGATAAATCCCCGTCAACAATCGTGAAACGGTCGGATGAATCAAAACGGCGCTCTGCTCTATAAATTGGGCCCGGCAAGCCCAAGGCAACATAATAGCCAAGGCGATAAAGCCATTCCACAAAACACTTCCCCTCTCGTGTGTACAGTAGTTAGCCCAGGGCCAGCACAATTGATCGAGAACGAGGGCACCTGACTGCACACAGGAATATGACACGCTTCGCTGCCTACAGCAGCTTTCGTTGTTTTCGGGAAATCGATGGTCCAGCACAGGCAGGAAAATCTCCGAAAATATGTAAGTCAGTGTACAAAAATAGCTATAAGACAGGAGCGACAATCCACACCCCGTTGGCGATATATGACGTAGTCTCGGTACAAGACTGGCGAATGTTCATTGGTCAGCCGACCTCCGTAAAACTCGCGATTTACGTCACCGTCCCAGCCGTGCACCTGTTCCACGGAAGCCGCCAAGCTTTCTAGAGTCAGGCCTACAGCAGTAGTTTGCGTATGTATGCAGCTGAAAACAATGGGGGCCAGATTGCCTTCATTCGCAACACCCGTCCGTGCCGTATGAGCCTTCTTGAGACTCGCCTGGCCCTTGTTTACGACTCCCGCTTCGCAAACTTTCTGCCATATTTAAAACAAAATATCACTCTTGTACATCACGCCTGGATGACTCAATATTTACTGCTGCTTGCTTTGATGAGCCCCCTCCGGAGGCGGGCGTTGTAGGCAACAAATTCTGTCATTGATACTGGGGGGCTGCGTAACCCCACACGCCGGGTGGGAGGCCATGACAAACGGATACTTGTTATACGGTCGTGGTCGGTACGTCAAAACTGCGCAAAGAGAAGGTGTTGTACATACAGCGAGCCAATTTTTCACCTTGAATATCGAGCCTCGATTGTTTTGAGGACGTTTCTCATGGGCGAGCCGGCACTACTGAAGGCATGCACGGTGCTTAACGTCATCGTCTTCCTCGAGGTTCAAGGGCGCGGGTTTTTGTTTGATCTTGATAACATATAGTCTAGGTATTGAATAATTCGATTACGACCGAAAGAGCACACCCCCTCGCACTGCTGTGTGCATATTTGTACACAGTAAGAAAATGTAAGACCCGCTCATCGGAGGTGTCGCGTGCAAACAGAACAACTATACAAGTGTAGTCGAACAGAGAAGCTGTCGAGAACCGCCTCCAACAACGCAGGTACATACCAGTATCAGCGTACCGGTAGTGGTCTGTCTACCTCTGGTGCACGCCTAATTCTCAAATCAAGACCACATACCATCAAGTCTAAATCCAAGACAAAAACAGGCGACAAGGCGGGTTCGAGTAGCCTTCGATATAACAGCCCCAGCAGCCCAATCTGAGCACGCAAACGCGCACGTAGGTGCCCCTTATCCCTGAAAAACTTGGGATCTGACGACGCAACGGGACGTTCCACCCAAAGAGAAAATGAAAATTGCCACCGCAGCAGCAGGGACCAGATCCCGTGATATTCTTTGCACAGCAGCCGCAAGCCGCAGCGAAAAACTCAACTCATGATAGGCGTGTCGAGTGGTCGCAGTACCACGCAGCGATGATTTGACAGGGGGATAACGCTGTAGACAAACAGGAAGAAGACAGCAGCTTCACCCATCGTGTCGGATATTACGCAGAGGAGTCAGTGCCGCTGCTGCAGCGGTGACAAGTATTGATGTTCGCGGGTTCTTCATGGGGTAGCATGGATGCGCAGGCGCGAAGTCTTTCTCAGTGCATCATACACAGAGCGACGGTGATCTCGACCTTCCGCCTACAGGTTGCTGGCGTTGACAAAGGATGGATAAGCCAGGGGTTAGAAGAACCCTGCACCTCGCGCTGCTTCATTCTCTATCGTAAGAAATGCATAGCGGTACTGGGCATCACACAGCACGCACGAGGAGGCGGACGCGGCGAGACTTGCACAACATCAACCGTGTTTTGTTTCCTGCTGTTCCCCGACCGACACCCACGACGCCATCTTACGATCCTGCGGCTGCTGCAGCTGCGCGGCGGCGGCGCGGAGAGTGCTCACCTTCTTCGCCTCGGGTTTACCAGCCCGCTGCTGTTGGTGGTGCTGTGCACTGCTGTCACCGCCGTCATGCTGCTGCCGCTGCTGCTGAACTAGAGATCCAGTAAACAGCAGGTTGTTGTTGTTCACGTAGCCGTTCTCCCCCGCCTGGCACGACCCCTTGGGATCACCATGGACGCCCGGCCGTGCGTCCGAGGCACAGCGCAACGTCGGGCTTTCCATCGTCTCGCCGCCACCTTTGCCTTAGCGTGACGAGGAAATAACTACAACGCAACTTGTTGCTGCGCTTGTTGCTGCTGCCTTGCCTGCTCACGCCTCCGCCGCCGCTGTTATCTTCCACGACCGCCAGCTTTCTCCCTGCGGTTCCGCCCACGCCGACAGAATATTCGCGACGCCAATCTTGTCATCTAAAGAAGGTGCGGCAAGCCGTCTGTCTCTACCAACCCGTTTACGATGACGTGCCTCCCCACTCCCAAGCTGCTCTGGGTAGCACGTCGCTACCGGTCCACACGCGTTGGAAGAAATTTGCCGCGCGCTCGCCGATGTGTGTGAAAACGTAACCGTTACCTAACAAGCAGATGAAAATTTTGGATCTTCAACGGGTAGGAGCTACTTGCCGAACCAACACACCAAGCAGCGCTGGGTACAGAATATTACAGCGGGAGTCCACAACCACCGGTGCGTGCGCGCTTTTACGGCAGGCCTTGGGATCCCAGGTAGGTACGTCAGTGGCGAAAACTCTTTCAAAGTACAGCTAATGACGACGCCGATGCAGATACAACGTGTACGTAAGTGGTATGTGCACTTCATACAGACAATTTTTCCGTTCACACTGGCTCTCCGACAGAGAAGAAAGGCTCGACGGGCAAGGGTGCATGAAACAGCTGGGGATATGCTTCTGTACGATACAGAGCAAGGGCGATATAATATGTGTCTAACTCACTGAAAAGGTTTCGTTTAACGAGCACACGTGCGTCTCATGCCAAAGCAGTGACTCCTTTCCACGTTCACATCGAACAATTTTTTTTTTCTTTGAAACTCAGAAGTTGCTCTCTCAACAGCCACAACCCACCAAGAGTGTGCCCGACCACAACTTGCGAAAGAACGTGAGAGCATTCGCCCGATCGTCCAGTGAATCTTGTCTCAAACATCAAAAGTAGTATATTCCGTCAGTTTGCCATCTCAGGATCCATGAGAACGCCGACATCGGACCATTGCGGAATACATTTCGCGGATGGTTGGTGGGCGGGGGTGCAACCTTTCGTGTGTTGGTTCACATTTTATTCGTTTTTTTTTTTGACACAACATGAGGAAGGCGTCGGAATGGTGTGTTTTCGCCTGTGCATATTTATTATGACGACAGTCCCCCCATTTTTCGTGGTGAGACGTGTACTCAGTACAGCACACTATTCAGCGTATGTAGAGTACTAGTCTACACTTTTCAGTATATTTTTTCGTACAACTACAATCATCCAGGGTCACACATGCAACGTGGCCCCGCTGCTGTTCAACTTGTTCTTTGCCGCGATGCTCATGGTCGCCGTGGCCGAGCTCGATAAGGAGGTCAAGATCGGGGCACAAGTTGAGTACACGGGCACGAAGGGCAGATCGGCGGGGAAGAAGACGACGGTGGTGACGGACGCGGAGGCCTTGCGGGCCATGCTCTACGCTGACGACGCGGCCATAGTCTCGCGCTCGCCGGAGAGTCTCGAGAAGATGATGTCGGTCATCGTGCGCGTGGCCGGCCTGTTCGGACTGATGGTATCGGAGCCAAAGACGGAGATCATGTGCATGCTGCCGAAAGGGATCGAGGAACGCCCGTTCACGGTCAGCGCCGCCGGCCAGACGTACAAGCAGACAGATCGGTTTGTGTACCTCGGACGTACCATCTCCGCGGACGGGAAGGCCGACCGGGAGATCACGAGCCGCAGCTGCCGGGCGTGGAAGTGCTACGGCCGGAACAGTGCTTCGATGTACGCAGGCGACGGGCCAACCGCCAGCTCAAAATCCGGCTACTCCAGCCTGAAGTGGTGGAGACTCTCCTGATGGGTGCGCCTCGTGGAGACCAACAGCGGAGCACTACACGAAGCTCAATGGGACCCACCGCCAGTTCCT